ATGTAGGTCGGAATCTGAGCAGATACTGTCTATCAACTACTTATCTAAATTTTTTTAAGTTATTTTATTAAACATTTACATTGATTGTATTGCAATATTTAAAATCAGAGGTCATATGCATGGCTGCTTATTATATATTAAATTTTGATTTGGTAAATTTCCAAAAAGAAGTTATTTAAAGTAAAACTGATAGATATAGATATCTAGTTAAAAGTTTAAATAGTGGCTATATATATATATATTAAATATTGATAATATTTATAAAACAACTAGGTTTCTTATTATGATATCGAGTATATTATAATACCTACTCACCATAAATATGAAATATAGAACTAAAACATTTCTGTATAGCTTTAGAATATTATAATATACTGGAAAAAATATTTATGCGAGTATTATAAAAAATAGTAAAATAGCCAAACAAGTAGGTATTTGTGTGAATAAAATTAGATTATTTTACCAAACAAAAATGTTTCACTTTTAAAGTCAATAAATATTTTTTATACTTGTGATGTAAATTTCTCAAAGTAATATTTATTATATACTTATATATTATTTTTATTACTTTTCTGTGAATGCATCAAAAGTTTAGATTGGAACTTTGATTCAAAAAAGTCACTTTTTCGTGTTGTATAATAAATTGAGAATTATTATAAAAAATATTTAAGTTGATTGAAAAATATTATGCCAATCGCATTTGTATTAGAATTTTCTGACATACCATGTGTTTTTATGTATATAACTGATAATGTTTTAACTATTAAAAGCAATAATTTGTTATTTTTCATATATTATAATGAGTACTGTTGTTATATCATGATTTTTTTAGGTTGTATCTTCTTAATTACAAGGCTGATAATAGATTTTAAATTAAAATTGTACGCTGTAAGGGTTGTCCAATTCTGTTTTGACATGGGTCATCCTCTATTCATAAATTCAAAATATTTTTTCATAAATCGTGTGCTTAGTCATTTTACATCTCATGTTTTCATGTTTTCAACATATTGTTTCCAGTTTTCGACGAAGTACCTATTCAGTATAATACTCAACCTTCACGAATATGACATAGAAATAAAAAGCATTTTTTTTTTTTTAAACTCACGTGTACCTACAGACATTTCAATAGTAAATAATTAATTTTGTCTGTAAACTTTTTTTTTTATTGGTTTTCATTATAACTGACATCGATGAACCTAATTGTTTCCAGTATTAATAATAAAAATTTGACATATATTTAAAATTAAATTTTAATTTTCCCAATGTAAAAATACCAGATTAAATTTATTTTGGACTATTTATGAAGTGTATAAAAAAATAACACAAATTTTAGATTTGTAATTTTTTACTTTATTGATTTAAAAGTTATCTATATCAAATTAAAAAAAAAAAAAATGATATTCAAGTATTTTATAATATATTAAAATAAAAATTCAATGTCAGTTGTTTAAAACATACTTAATTCACATCGTATAACATTATAATATAATATTATATTTGTATTTTAGACTTTTTTTGATTCAATATACTTCCTAATGAATATTCATAGTTTTCTGTTGAACCATAATATTTTTATATTTTTAAATAAAAAATATTTTATGCCGCCTTTTTTTAAAATGTTTGTTTAAACTTTTTAGAATAAAAAAAATAAAAAAATAAAATAGGTAGGAATTTGTGTGAATCAAGTAACATAATTTTATGAGACATAAATGTTTCATCTTTAAAGTCAATTAATAATTTTGATACTTGTGGTGTACATTTTAATGCAAAATTAAAATTTGACAATATTTTAACCACGAAAAATTGTTTTCCGTTAATTTTTCTAAACCGTCTTAAAAATGTATATCGCCAGTGATGTTAATTAAAATTGATGATCTTATTTTATATAAATTTATTCTATATATTTTATGAAAAGTATATATACATTAAGTATACATATTTCTTGACTTAGCGCCGTTTTTAAGGTTTGAGAGGATTCGTAGTTGATGCTAAGTGTTTAGAATATCGTAAACAGAAAAAATTAATTAAATTCTTATAAGTTGAAAGACTTAAAGAACACTGAGATTTGTAAAGCGAATATCGTCCGATTTTAAACTTATTTCTTCATTTAAGGCTCTCTATTGTTCTTTATTGAAACTCTTGCTTGAATATGGCTTAATTTTGTGGGATTACATACTGCCATCAACTCTGCGATCATTGAGCGAGTTTAACATTTACAAAAGTGTTTTCTATTTTATGTCGGTTATGTGTTGGATATCTCCCACCCATTGCACGACTACTCATTAGTTATCCGTGAACTTGGTCTTTTAACATTATCCGATAGAAGATTTGACATTAACTTGAAGTTCCTCTGAAACCTCATCAACGGTTTTGTCGACACACCTACTTTCTTTTTTTTCATCAACTTTTAAGTTCCTTAAAGTCTGACTCGCTTTATCGCCACTTTTGCTATCCTTAATTTGAAAAATCTAATTCACCGCATGATGTTCCTACGCCCATCCTTTGTTTTAACACTAATCTAGATACCTGGTTCCGTTTCGCTTTCGTTGACTTGGGTTTTGCATGTTTAGTTTACTTACTATTACTGTACTTTAAGCTAAGTTTGTGTTAATGGAATAAAATAAGTAAGTAATTAAATTATTTGTATTTGGACCTTAATTGCAATGATAAAAATACGATTGTCAATTATTTTCTGGTAATTGAATTACAATGCACTATAGGTATGCGTATATAATATTAGAGAAGGTAGTTAGGAAAATATTAAGCGAATATTTTATGTAATATTTGACGATTAATTTTAGATACTTAACTTTACACAACTAAAAATAAAATCATTATTTTTTAAGATACATCTGTGTAAAAATTAATATTAAAATATGACTTTTACAGACCACGTAGATGGTTTTTACCTAATGTGTATTAAAAATGCACTCATTATTTTATTGATAATTTAATTTTTTTCATATATTAATTTACAATTTTTAGTTTATTTATATAAAAAAAAAAATAGTTAAAAGTTACGTTATGAATACTATGTAATACCAAGTTATTTGTAGTTTATAGAGTAGTTTTATTATAATATTTTAAACTTTCAAAATGTTATCATAATTTACCCACAACTATAATATATTGATGTTATATTTTTTTTAACAATCTGCTTACATAATATTATACCAAGAATATAATATGTATAATATAATATATATTTTTAAATGTTTATAAAAACGTTCGGGAATCTTATCTGAGAACATAAATTGTAAATTATCGAGCTTAGGATCTATGGGTTTTAGGCATGCTGCAGTGTATGAATTTGTCAGAGGTTCAAAATACTTGGCAATGTCTCAAAATTATTTGAATACCATTTGAAATTGGTGGATGGGTTAACGAGTACCGAAAAAAAAATAAAAATAAATCTAAGCTATAATAATTTCTAACGAAATATCGCACTAGGGACCAGTGATATATTCAAAAAAGTCCATCTAGTAGCGCATTGCATTTAATCGTCTTATACTAATCAACCTAATCACCTATAATATTCTTCTTAATTCATTCTTAAAAAGTCAGATTATGTTAGTTAATATTTTTGTTGAACAAATTTCAAAAATTATAGTTACTTAATCAGTAATCTTAAACACCTGCATACTTAATATTTTCATGTTGAAATTATACAGTGGATGTTATCATGTTATGATTTGTCCAAGAAATATCATACTTATTTTTAACAACAAGTTAAAATTATAAATTATTTATTTGATTTTCATTTGATTATTATATATTTCTATATGATAATAAATATTTTAAATAACATTACAATGCATATTAAATGTTTTTTTCTCCATTTAAAAATAATTTTATCTCCTAATAAATTTATATTGCAATCTCTATATTTTTCTTTTATAGATTGTACTTAAACAAAACATTATTTAGAGTATTAGATATGAATATTACCTTAGTTTGTTTTAATTTAGTTTAATTTGCATTAGGTTTAATCATATATCTAATAAATAACATCAACGTATTAATATTACACATTTGACTGTGGTTAGTCACAACTCTCACAATACCAGTTGTGTAATATATTTCAAATACACTAATAAATGAAGTTTTTATTTTGAACAAATGAGTTCAAAATACATAATATTAATTTTGTTTAATGTAAAAGCAAAAAAAAATCCGTAAGAAATTATTTTTCCAGCAAAAGACTAGGACAACTAATACACACTTAATCCATCCAAATCCAGTAGTTCAAAATTTTATTAAATTGGTTATTCAGTGATGTATTTTATTGACATTTTTTTTTTTTGCTTATAATTAAATGTTATACGTAATTTGAGTAGGAAAAATCCTTCATAAATCTCTACATACATTAATTTGTTATAAACTGAACATTGAATAGTACCATATTCAATGATATATCTATTACATTTTGCAATCTACCAATTGCTTTCAAGGATAAATGCATAAAACCTATCTTTAGGGAAACCTGGTGGAAGATTTGAATTTGATTTCCAACGAGAGTTGTTCTTCTAGAGAGAAAAACTTTCAGTATGCCAAACTTTTTGATAACACAAGATGTACATATACAGTTTATTTATATCAGCTCAGGGTCGTAATTCACTTGATTGTGTTTACTGTTGCTTTTAAATTAAATTAAATGATATATACTGATATGTGGTGGAATAAGTAAAGTGACACAAATTACTAACTTAACTTAGTCCTAATGTTTTTTTTTTTTTTTTTATTCCTTGACTATTTTTTTAAAAGCTATTTATTACTTTATTCTTTTATATATTTTTTTAATGTTACAGTAGATACATATTTCTATATTTTATAATATAATTTTTATTTCTTATACTATACATTAAGAGTATTATAGTCAAAGTACAAATAATACGTTTACCACTATGTGTATTGGATGATGTATTAAGTAAATCCGTGTTATATATCAATGATTTTGTGAATCATTTTAGCTAAAACCTATTTATTACATAATGTTACAGATATTGTTTGGAGTTTACACAACGTTAGCATACATTTCATACCTCCAGCAGTAGAAAAAGGACATGATGTCATGATATACTGCAATTACGATTTAGACGGAGCTCCAATGTTGTCGGTCAAATGGTACAGAGGAAGTCACGAATTTTATAGGTATTCTCCCGGAATGATACCCGCAACGCAGACATTTCCATTTTATGGGCTTAATGTCGACGTAAGTATACGTTATTTTGGAATAATATGGACTAAAATAATTAAAACTTGAATTTACGTTAAAAAATAAAATTTAAAAAAAAAAAAAATGATAATAAAAATGATAACACAATAATGATAAATAATCTGAAATAATACTTAATATTTTTGATATAATTATTATATACCTTAAGTAATCATATAGCAATATAATATTTGTTAAACTATTTCTAAAAAACAAAAAATAAATACTATTATTCATTGCCTCTTTTGAATATTTTAACTTGATGATTAGCAAGATAGCTTAGATTATATTTTTCTTTCATTAAGAAAATAAAATAAACAATAAAATTAATTATAGAATTATCAACTCGATTAGTGTATAATCCTATAAAATGATAAATCAAGTAAATCGCATCGGGATTTTATTTATCTATATTTTAATATATTGCAATTCTTTACTTGATCCTTACCTAAACTTTAAAACGTATATATCTATATGAATACTTAATGAAAATTTGTAAAAAAAATCTTTTAAAATATTAACATAAATTAACTTTAAAATAAGTTTTTTTAAGATTTTAAAGAAACACGAAAGTAGTGAATATTTAAACTTTCGTCGTTATTATACCTTAAGTTTTATTAAGCCAACTATATACTGAGAACTTAAATAATATTTGTGGATTTCTAATATAGGTAATAATTATATACAATTATTAAATTATTATTTACAGAAATAATTATGAAAGGTAAAATAAGCAAAGTGAGCCCACGTGTGTATTCAATATAGTATATTTGCATATAAAATAAAACAAAATTATTTCATAAAGTAGAAAATTCAATACTCTTTAAATATGAAGTACGATGATCAGATGTTTCTTTTAAAAGTTTGATAATACAAGGTGTAACAAAATATAATAATTTGTATTCGGTATTGTGTGCATAAGAGTAATTAAGTGTTTTTATATTAGAAAATACTGACCTCATTGTTTAGTCACGGGACAATAAAAAAAATTGTGAAAATCTTGTGAAAACATTCAGCTGGTTTCTCGAATAAAATCCCATGCCTGTCATCGTAAACCTTTTTTCTCTCTACCACCTCCTTGCCTTCTTTTATGCGACTTAAATCGACTTGATTTAATGCACGTTTCCGTTTTATTGTCAAAAAAGCTTCCGAGATTCACATAGTCTTGAAAAGATTTTTTTCTAGAGGACTAACACAAGCATTAGGATGGGCGGATGACATGGCCGGTAAAGGGCACAGGCCGAACAAAAACATTGTTGTCAACGTCGGTAAAACCGTTTTTCCGGTCATCAACGATTGTTACCGCAGATAAGTTTATACGCGTCATGTGTTTGTGTATTTATTTCCGTGTTAGTGTGTATGAAACACATAAATCATACGGTTTGAATAATACATGTGCCTTTCTATGTTGTATTATATTACACTTGGTTCCTAGGAAAAGTTCTTCAGATTCATTTTCTGACAGTTATCCATGAGCCATATTTTCATGTCACCGCTATCCAGAGAAATTAGTTCAGATAAAAAATACAAATAAAATAGCCATGGAAAAAATTCAAAACTGTACAAGAAAATGATAGATTTTAAAATATTGTATGCTCAACGAAAAGTTGTTTGATAGAAACTGTTTAATAGGAAGAAGAATTAAGTATTAAATTTGTTTTAACAAAAACTTTACAGTAATTTCTATATTTTTATTTTATTATTATTTTTATAATTGATTGCCATTTGTTAAACAAATTAAATCCAATCTGAAAATTTACTTAAAGTTCTATGAAGTTTACTTTGTAATAGTATTGTTTTATTTAAATGTGAGTGCTATATTATTGCTTATTTATATCACATATTGGATGTTTTTCTAATACTTCAAGTTAAATTCTTAATAAAAAAAAAAAAATAATTTCATTCTGTAGATTATACATCATTTTTTTTTTCATTTATATAAAAATATAACTACACAATATGAATAACTTACAATTTTAAAATATTAAATTGCTTAGTTATCTACTAGATATATTATAAAAAATAACAAAATAAATACTAATGTAAAGATTTAAATATTAGATTACTAATACTAATATAAACATAATTATATTTCATTATTTAATTTTTATTTAACTATATTTATAAATGTATTCCAAAAAAACAAATTAAATAGTGTATCTATGATAAATTAATTTTAAATTTGATTAGTTTTAAGATAATTTAGCAAAATAATTATTAAAATTTACATTATTTTTTATTGAAATATGTTCTAACTAGAAATTTCAATTCCAGAAATTCATAAAATATAATAATATTAATTAGAATCGATTCTTTACCAATGGTTTTTAAGTTTTCCTCAAATTATTACTATAAAAACTGTTACTAGTCTTCATAAACTTAGGTTTTTTTTGTTTATCGTACATAAAATATTTTTATTCATTACAAATTAACTTATTACTTATATCTTGAGATAATATTTTAGTAACTGTATAAGATTGAAAAATAAAAAATAAAAAGTTCTAAACAATAAGTACTAAATAAATGTTTTGAATCAATTAATTCATTGAAAATTATTATTAAATAACGTGTAAAATTATTAAATTTATACAAATTTTTATACGATTTAAAGTTCATTTAATTACCTTTTATAATGTTTAAAAAGATTTTATACCTACTTAATGTTTTTCGGTATTTGATAATATAACCAAGTTCTTATATTGTTCATTCATTTAAACATAAATATACTTAATATATATACAACAGTCAGAAAATAATATATTTATTCTAAAAGATAAGATATTTTCACAAAGATGTATATTTCTGTAAAATCTTTCGTACATGTAGAACGTATGAATGTTAATCGCTACATATTATGTATGAACATATAGTGTAATAAAATAGCTTTTCTCCATGCTTTGTTTTTTCTGAAAAGTGATAATGTACACATGCATTTGAAAATTTTCATTTAGAATAATTTACTATTCATGAATATAGTTTAACCAAAAAGTAAAAATTGAATTTTTCAAAATATTGTGTATTATAAACAACATCATACATATTTAATTTGTATAGTATGTATGAAAACTGAAATAATTTTAATTTATTTCAGCAGACATATTAAGTAAAATCATATTACCTATGAATTTTTCGCAAAAATAAAAACTTTGAATGGTTAATATGAACTTAATATTTTATATAAAATGAATAGATGTTATGACCATAAACAATAAAATGTATAATGTGATAAATCCTCTAGAAATACATAGTTAGTAAATAAACACAACATACTACGTAAACAGTAATTTCACAATTTTGATTTTTTCGTTTATTAACAGATTGTTTGAAAAATTAATACTTTAATCTTAATTAATTTTTTAATTTAAGAATTTAAAATCAAGAATTATTTTAAACTGAATTAAATTTTTAAAGATATGCTCAAAAATAATACTATATAATACTTAATTATGGAATATGTATTTTCCTAATTATTGAAATACAGTTTTTTTAAGTTACGTACTTAAAATTTTCACAAAATATTTGATTCGGCTAATTGTTTTACCAATTTTAACTGATTTAAAATATTTTTGAAAGCGTGGTATTGCGTAAAACATGTGATTGTTACATTTTTATTTAAATGTTAATCTTATATTAATAGCTTACATGAAAAAGTAACTTGGAATTATCCAATGTATAGTATACAATTTATTATTTGACATTTGTATGATAATCTGGTTAAATTATTTTTAAAGACTAATAATATTTTCAAGAAAACGAATTTCAGAATTTTTTTCAGTAATATAGAAGTAAAATTTATCCCAATATATTAAGTATCATAAATAAATATTATATCAATAGTAAATATAATAAATTTATTATCTATAGACAAGGTATTATAAAAATTGATTATTTCATTACACAAATGAATACTTACTCGTATATACAGTTGGATATTTGATACTAAACTAAAAAAATATGATTAAAAACTCTTCATCGTAAGGTGTCTTTCGTCACAGTAACTAATTATAATTGTACATAATATTAAACATATTAATATATTATTTTAAGACTATCGTATGACCCATTAGGTATTACGTTTACATTAAAAAAAAAAAATTAAATAAAGTATAGATTTTATTTCTGAGATATTAGAAATAAACTTATATTTGAAATTTTTATAATTTATAAATAAACCATTATTCGATTTTATGATATAATAAAATACCTTAAGACAGCTTTATACAGCACGTGTAAAATATTCTTAATTTTTATTACACAATACAGTATAACAATAATCTATTGAATTTAATAACAGTAAGATTGGATTTAATTTTAAGAAATAACATTATTTAATTATAAATAGTATAACATCATCAGAAATAATAAATACAATTATATATCTTCGTTTCTAAACCAAAATCATATTAAATGTGACTTTTTTGAAAATTTTAATGGGATATAATTGTATAACATATAAAAGCTTAACTAATAATTTGTATGTTCGTGGTCATGTCTTAATTTATAAGCTTAGAACAATTTATTTTATTCCGAGTAAAATGGAAGACGAAGAGAATGCAATGTCATTGGTAAAAGTTGTTTGAGTTCATAAATCTTCGTTTTGAGAAGAATTGCGTTGGGTTAAGTATACTTTAAAGATGAGAAAACTTGTTATACACTTGTCATATACTTTTTGTGATCAATTTGCAATACCACGTTTTGCTGGTAATTTTTAACGTTTTTATTACAATAACAATTCATTTAAGTTTTAAAAGCACAAAACTAAATTTAATCATTCTATTTTTATTTTTATTTAACGTTATAATAGTAAAACCTTTTTTATAAAAAAAAAAAAAAATGTATTAAAAATATTCTATCTCTAGTTAAATAACAATAAATACCTAAGTTTTAATTAGCAAGTACTTATTGATATCAATCAGTTTAAACTACAATAAATATATGGTAAAATAGTCATACATTTTAAATATTTATAAAATGCCTTGTCTGTTCAGTTAATTATTTTTATATTTAAATTACCAATGTTAAAATATAAAACAATACACTTACACTTGTGTATTGTAGTATTTAAAATAATTTTCTCTAAACTATATAAATTTTTAATATCAAATATATCTTAGTTTGTGTAAAATATTTACTCAAAATCCTAAATTCATAAACATTGAAACAACCGTTCTATATTTTTTTTTTTATCGTGAAAACTACTGAATACATACACACAAAAATATAATTTTATTGATATAAATAGTAATTACAATTTATTTAATACCTAAACAAATACATACAAGCACTTTACAGAATAATAACTGACACCAAGTCATATATATATATTAAGTGGGATAGTTTATATAATGGTTATATTATACTCGTACAGAATGTATACAATTGTGAAAAATAAAACTTGTATTATTGCAGTTGTCTGTATCAAATGCCACACAAGTATTTTTGCGAGATGTTGGTTTCAATTTGTCTGGAAATTTGAGCTGTGAAGTAACAACTGATGGTCCTTCATTCAAAACTGCGATCGTCTCAAAACGAATCATAGTTGTGGGTAAGTGGAAACTAAACAGTGTACACATTTTAATAATTGTTTTACCTTTTGTCTATTAATTTATTATTTATATAATTACTTTTAAAATTTAAAATAAAATATTCACATAATACTAAATATATATATATAATAAAAATAATTTATCAATAAAAATTTGTCCGAAAATAAGTCAGATAAACTCCATCAAAGATATACAATAGATATAAGTGCTTACATAATCGATTTAGGTATACGTTAAAAATGTATATAAATAGTATATTTCATTAATGAATTAAATAAGAAAATTATTTGTATTAAGTATTATTTTGAATACAATTTCATTAATTCCCAAAATAAAGCAAATATCTTTGATTAAAAATTAAACTTGACTAATAAATTAATATATGTAGTTTGCATTTGAAGTGGCATGGTTTTTTTTTTTGTTTTGTTTTATTCTGTGTGCACATAGGATATATTATTATGTTGGCCACTCCTCTCTTAAATATATGTTTACCTTTTGAATTAAAATTAAGAGCTTTTTGTTATTATTTTATAACATATACATGATTAAAATTAAAAATACAAATTTAGAGATATTATACAATAGTATTATCCTGAAATAATAAAATTCTAATGCCAGCTTTTAGCAAGTTACCCTAGAAAAAAATAAATACATTGCTTAAACACGTATAATTTCCCAAAGGGTTGATTTTTTCAAACCATGTTATTCCTAAAGGACACAAACTTTAATAAACATTTCAAATTTACCTTAAATACGTATTATAGTTGTATATAGTATATCATAATAAAACAATATAATGGTTATTATTTTATTTAGTTTATAACAAAAGATATTTAATCATTGAGTTGATTTCATATATCACTGATAAAAATCTTCATGCATAATAAAAGGTATATATTACGCTGTATATAATATGATATAATATATATATATTATATTCACATAATAACAATTATATGTAACTTATAAAATCTAATTATTTTAATACTTAATTTTTTAATTATATTTCTTTATCACTATATATAATATAGTAATAATAATCAAGAAAACCAACTTTGAGAACTACCAAGTACACAAAAATTTTAAATTTTATGATAAAAAAAAAAAAAGGTAAAATAAAAATATGTGGAAATAATTAAAATTTGTAATTATTATTAAGTACTATGGATATAACTAATAACTGTAAATTTTTGAAACTGTGCCTCAAATAATAAAATTAAAATTAAATAATAAAACCTTTTATAATTTACAATATTATTATTATGTGTATTAATATTTAATACTGTAGTTATAAATGTGTGTAGTTTTAATGGTAACTAATTTGAAATAAATACAAAAAATTTAATTGTAAAAATTACTGAAATTTTTTTATTGAAATAGGAAAATAGGAATAATTTATTATTTGTTGTGATCGTATAAAACTACATCATCTTTAAAAAAAAAAAAAAAAAATTAATATAAAAATATTTTCAAGTATATATGGATGTTTAAAAGTAAATACTTAAACGTTTAATAATAATATTTTATAAACTTAAATTTAATCTACATTATTATTAAGTATCACCAAAGTATAAAAGAAAAAAATTGTAATAAGAGGAAGAATTATCTTTAGTTAAATATGCAACAAAAAAATATATCTAACGACTCCACGTCACTTTATAGTGTATGATACTATTTATTTTAGTTAGTGCAGGTATATAACTGCAATATCCAGTAAAAATGTTAACACTAAAACTTATTTCTTATGATCAGTAAATAACTTTAGGATATTTATTTATCATAGTTCAAAAAAAAATAATGACTATAATTCCGATTTATCCACAAAAGCAATTAATTATTAGATTTTGTTTTAGTTAGTTTAATGTGTTAGACATTATTATTAGGTAATGATAAAATATGGTAAGTGATTAATTAATAAAAAAGAGGAGCATTATTAAAAAAAAATGTACATTAAACATATTATATTTACATAACAATAATAAAATAAACAGTAAAAATCATTTATAGTGAGTATTGAGTGTATCTCGTTATTGAGAAGAGGTCACCGTTATGAATGTGTTGAATTTGAATTCAATAAATAAATAAATAAACCAGTATAATTGAAAAACGTTGAAGAGTAAAAAAAGGGTTAGTCTTTATTTTTAAGATTATTTTATGATATACTTATAAGTTATATTAGTTTAAATTAGATATTCATTTTTCTGTATAATGACAAAAAACATCTCGTATATTATTATAATATATTATCATTGTTATCAATAACGGTGCATAATAGAAAGATGAAAATAAGTTAGTACACCCATACGTAATATAAAGAGCTTAAAATTAGTCAAAATAAAATGAAAATTTAATCATTTTTAGAATAAAATAATATACGCTATACCGAAAAATAAAAAATAAAACGTATGAATAGTATTATTTTTCGTAAAAACATTCAATTTTTGTCAAAATTTTGAACTTAAAATGTCTATATCTATATATTTATAGTTATTGTTGATATTTTCAGATTGCCTATAAGCGATTATTTTTTTTTTTTTTTGTGTGTGTTTAACAATATTAGTTTATAAATTACTTAAGTGGTAATTCGTCAAGTTTATGAAAAATTGGACTCTAAGGCGTTTTTCTTAATTTTATATTTTATAATTATGATAAAAATGTATTTAATATATTTTGTATATAATATTACAGATGGTGACTGTTTTTTTTTTTTTTTTTTTTTTTTTTTTTATGTTAATTTAAGGTGTTGGTCAAAAGTTTGATTTATTCATAAGACGGTGTATCGGGTGTTTAGTGTACTGACTGAATTTTAGTAATCGAAATTTTAGAACAATTTTTCAGTATTGCATTTGATTCAATATTACAACGATAGGGGGTAAAGTAAAACGCCGACTGTGCGTCTGCTGGTCTTAATAGTTAAATAAGAGAGCCGACACAGGCAGTGGTACTTGGGTACGACCACCAGACGTAAGCGTGGGTCCTATCGTCACATTAAAGGGAATCGTTTATTATTTACACATATGATTGGACGGAACCAATCACCACCAGTGCGTGACTTGAGAAACTGCGTGGTGAGCTGCGCACAGGACGGCAATACTTAACGACTGGGATTTCCGGTATTGGCACCGAGAAGGCCCTTTTCTAGTGTTGCATCGACCGCTTGTTTGCTGTCGTCTCCGCCACTGGTATCGAGGTGTGGTTACTACGCCACGCCTGCTGCATTTTTTGTCGACAGTGGTAAAAGAGAGCGGTCTTCGTATAATGCCGCTATGTTGGATAGGGACCCTGCGCCGCAGGTCATTCCGAGTGGCGTTTTCGTGATCATTTCCGCTACTCCTCCTCGTCAGCCTTTTGTCGTCCGGCGATACGAGTGAACTGAACGAGCAAACCAGACGGAGTTTGCGGTTGGTTTGCTCCCGCCTCGCACTAGTGACTTCTTGTCTTCCCCGGTGGTTACGGTCGTCGTTGTCGAGCTCGTTCGCGGTCCGGATGGGCGGTGGTCGCTGTCTGATAGTCCCGGGTGTCGGTGCCTTTTATGGCTGGTAAGTTCGTTTGGACGTACGCTGAAAAATAGCCGCCTCATAGTGACGAGAGTCTGTGATCTGTATTAATTGTTTTGAACTCAGGATCTCTCGATCCTGCGGTTCTAGTTTTTAGGCAGTTGAAGACTTGAGAGGTGTTATACGAGTGCGTGTATTTTTCGTAGCTTTACTTCGTTTTGTTGGGACGGCCTGGGCCCTGTATTATTCTATACCAGGCTATAGAACCAGGCCAATTTACGTATTTATTTTTTATCATAGGTTAGTATTAATATGTCTGTGAGACTGGTCTCGGTGCTTTCGATTGAAGTTGGTATATTTTGTCACAACCATAAATAATTGGATGTGTTAACTACTTTGTTGATTTATGTGAAAAATTGTTTTTGATTGCAGTTGTGTTTGTCTATCTAAGTAGAACCTCATTTCTAAGAAAATTTTGACATGCCTGTCGTCATTCGGATTGCTATTGTTTGAACGGACTCGATTTGCAGCCATTGGAATTTAGTGACGTGTTTTTGAAGTGAGATTTCACTGATATTTATATTGCGAATCATGCAGACTAATAAACACAACGCGCTCATAGTGACTTGCATTTTGTACTTATCCTCAGCACGGTTTCTTTTGTATGAATGTTGTTAGGTATGCTACGGGGTTGGTGTATTTTTCTCTTTTTACTTGGAGCTTCTAATTTCCAGGAATATTAATTATATGTTTATCGGATGTACAGATGATCCGTTAATCAGTTCGTATAGACGTTGTGTGTTGGGCATGAATCGTGTTTGCTTGCACATTTGGCGTGACGGCCCTTTGTGTACGTCTGCGATGTTCTGATTGGCTTTCATTAGTGGTTCTGAAAAGAATTGCCTTTACGATACGATGTTGTGTAGCGCCGTAACACTTGGAATAATAATCTCTCAGTTGCTTTATTTTTATTTCATTACAACGTTGTAACATAATATATTTTGCTATTACGGTGGGATTATAGATACCATTTAGATTTCAATTCAAGAAGAAAAACTATATTATTTGGAACGGTAAATACATCTTGACTGAATATTACAAATAGTAAATGACATGACCGAAGTTTGAATAGTATGTATTCTTGGTTGAACTTCTCCAAACATTTTTGTATCGTTTTCATACACCTAATGATTTATGTATAAAAGGTAACATTCAAGATCTAAAATAAAAATAAATTTAGTCCAGATATTTTATTCAATCAATGTATTTAGATTAAATTTATCATAATTAATTAATTTTTTATATTTTTAGTATTATTCTAAAACCTACCGTTTGTTTGTTGTTTAATATACGTTTTTTTGATATTTTTAATGAAACGGTATTGTTAATAACTAATAACCAATAATTTTTATTTTTATGTATTTACAACAGTTTTAATATCTACATAATATTATTAACTTATAAAGTCTGTTGGTTTTTTTTTTTTTTTTTGATATTAACTA